AATTTTCGGTGCAAATGAACAAGAAATATCCTTCAATTCTGATACTGAAAACAAAAAAATTAAATTTGAAAACAAAAAAATTATTTTAGTGGAAATGAACAAAAAATAAAGAAACATCCTAAAAAAACAACAAACACTAACAGATCGAGAGAAAATAAATCTGAAAATATAAAAATGAAAATAAAAAAATAAAATAAAATATAAAAATACATAAATAAATCTGAAAATATAAAAAATGAATGAAATTGACATCAAAATGTAGATTCCGACGAGAGGAATCCAACGATGAGTAGCCCATCAAATTCCGACTAACGAAAAACAAATTACACCTTTTGTAAGAACACCGTCGTCGAAATATGCCGACTAAAAAAAATGCAGAAACAGATCTAGCACTCTAAACTGAATGAAAACCCACCACCGGAGAGAGAGTTATGACTCCGAGAAGCAAAACCGCCGGTTAGAGACCTTGGGGGGGCGGGATTTGGATCTGGGAATTGAAAGAGGAAGATAACGCCGATATGGGTTGGGCTAGAGTTTAAAACTGATTTAAAAGGGTATTCTGAGTACTTCAGGTGGGCTAGGGGTATGTCAAATTATTATCCAAATGGAGGAGGTTTGCACTAGGGTGTAAACAACATGATAGTTAATTCTATATATTTTAGAGATGAGGGGGTCTCTAAAATAATCCATATATATATATATATGCATGTATGAGAAATGTGATAGACGTCACTTGTACCAAAAATATATTTTGCTATAAGCATATTTCTTTAGCAGCAATGTTTGGAACGGCTTTTGGAGTTATTTTGGTTATATATTGGAGAAATATGTTATGAGAGAATAATTTAAGAACGAAAGTAATGTTGTTTATGATTTGAGACTATACAAAATATTCTGTACCAATCAAATCATGTTTAAAGTTATTTGAAAAGATGTATTTTATAAGAAGAATTCAAAAAATAAAGGGATGTTTGTTTATTTTTTAGTGAACACATTTTTTTATTGTAATAGTCAAACTATGTCTGGAGCAGAGAAAAACTTTAAAGATTGTTTTGGATTTTTTTTTCAAACACTAAAGAAACACGAATTCGTTTCGCAGAAAATAAACGTGAAATGAAAACATAACTAAACATTGCCAGAAGCTTAATTAAGAACTAATTAAATATTTGAACTTGAGTTTTGTAAATAATTAAGCTCATGTACATGAGTTTAACAAAAAAAATTAAAGTCCAGAATGAGATATAAATTAATCGCGGCTATTGTCTAAAACAAATTCGCAAACTTACATGGATGATGGATTATATATCGATCGTATCATAATTCGTTCTCGTTTGGTTGCCAAGATAAAACTAGTCAAGATAAAAATAATCTAATAAAAACCTAATTATTTTAATGGACTCCAAGACGTCCAATAAAAAAACTTCATAAAGATAAGATAAAACAAAATAAAATATGATAACATAATAGTTCCGGGTAGACCTAAGAAACTATTAGTTTATCAGATATCTAACAAGGTCCAATTATTTAATTAATAAATAATGACTAATTTATCCAACCAAACGACACCTTAGTCTAGTGATTTATAACCAAAAAAATAAATGCGTTTGTTCTTATTCTCACATATAACTTTTGTGACAAAGGACTTGTACCCAATTTTGGTCCTTATATAATAAGAGCAAAATTAAATAAACTTGTGGATATAAATATAAAATAATAAGGTAAATATAATTTAGAAAATAAAAAGGGTAAATTACAAACACCTTCCTGAGGTATGGTTAATTTATGAAAAAATCCCTCTTGTTTGGATAATTACATCTACCCATCAACTATGATTTTTTCTTACACCTCCACCCTTGTGGTGTCAAATTAAACATAATCATCTAGATTTTGTGGAATGTGCTCTAGTTTGTACTCGTTTTGTGTAAAAATACAGTTTCTGATGCACCACAATCTGATATATAGAAGCCAAAAAACACATATTATGATCATCTTGCTTCAAAATGTGGAGTTCGAATGGGATAAAACGGGTACGAAAGTGATAATATTCCATATAATCTCGAAGATTCCACTAAATCTGAGGAGTTGAAGGGGGTAACTGTAATTATCTAAATAAGAAGGGGGTTTTCGTAATTTGAGCATACCTCAGGGATAGATGTTATGTTGACTGTGGATTAGTTAATATGGTGACGCGCCCACGAGCGCGAGTTAAAACAGATCACCTTTTTTCACAGCTCACCATTCCAGCTTTCTTTATTGCCCAACAATGGCATTTTCGCATTTCTCAATTCCCCTTTCTCAATACATACACTATACAACAACATTTTTCCACACTTTTCCTCGTTCAATTTACACACATTTTTGCCTGACAGCTCCTTCACACCCATAATTATTCTCTCTCTCTCTTTCTCTCTCTCTCTCTCTCTCTCTCTCTACAACACACAGTTGAAATGCACAACAATCGATCTTATTGCAGCATCGGAACCCAACGACGCCGGGATCTGCGTTTCTCGATGACTGCGCTCCGACAACGTTGTTAATCGTCGCTCGATTTCATTGTGCGTTCTTCCCTTTTCCCCCTTTTTTTTTATTATCTGATTTTGGCGTTTTTAAAACCCTGTGTTAATCCGCATTGTGCTGAAATTGTTCGCCTTTTTTTTTCTTCATTAATTCTCAACGAAATAGAATCTTAACAATGTTGGGTTTTTTCAATTGCGTTTAAATATAACGAGATTGTTCTTTCTTCCCCCCTTTTGCTTTGATCATTGCAATAGTGTGTTTGTCGATTTGTGTTATGTGACTTTTAATTCTTGTTAATTTGATTGTGTTTTGTGTAGGATAATTCGGATTTGAATTGATTGAATCCAGGGAACCAAGGATAACAAGATAAAGGAGGATTTGGGTTTTTCCGAAAGCCTTCGATTTTCGAATCTGTTAATTGGTGTTGTTGTGTATATAATTGGGTGACCAAACAATGCTGTCTAAGAGTGGGGACCACCAGACGGTCCCACTATCGGTGTTGCTAAAGCGCGAATTGGCCAATGAGAAGATCGAGAGGCCCGAAATAGTGCACGGTCAAGCCAGTCAAAGCAAGAAAGGCGAGGACTTCACATTCGTCAAGACTGAATGCCAACGGGTCTTAGGCGATGGAGTCACCACATTTTCCGTTTTCGCGGTATATTTATATAATCTTATTGCACTGATTATTGTTGTTGATTGTGGTAGTTGAGTACGATACTCGTCACGCCGAATATTAATTCGTGTTTATATCTAGTGATGAATCGTCCTTTTACATAACTTATGAGGGAATTGAAGGAGTCGTTGCTCTAATTGTGCTGATTCATAATTGAGATTTACAGTAGATTCGGTGACGAAAAAATAAAATTCCGTTTCTTGCAGCTATCGTAATGTAGTGTACATTATTGCCTTTTTTTTTTGGGAAACAACGGATTTAAAATATTCTTCGTTTTTTCAGTTATTTGATGGTCATAATGGATCAGCAGCCGCTATATATTCGAAAGAGAATCTCTTGAGCAATGTGTTGAGTGCAATTCCACCGGATCTTAACAGTGACGAGTGGGTATCGGCATTGCCAAGGGCTTTGGTTGCAGGTTTTGTGAAAACCGATAAAGATTTTCAAGAAAGAGGTATAACTAACTAACTACCTTTTTAACCAGCCAAATAACTCTCTCTCTCTCTCTCTCTCTCTCTCTCTCTCTCTCTCTCTCTCTCTCTCTCTCTCTCTCTCTCTCTCTCTCTCTCTCTCTCTCTCTCTCTCTCTCTCTCTCGTACTAATTATATTGTATCTTATGTATCAGCACAAACTTCGGGAACAACAGTTACCTTTGTAATAATCGAAGGATGGTTCTTAACTGTCGCATCAGTTGGTGATTCTCGTGGCATTCTTGAATCGGCTGAAGGGGCTATATATTATCTATCGGCAGATCATAGACTCGATTGCAGTGAAGAAGAGTAAGTTATTTTGTATTCTAATTTTTTAATGTTTTTTTTTTTAATTCTTTGCATGATTTGCAGTTCGATTCTTTTACAATAAAATTTTCATTTCTCTGATTATTTAATGAAACAGGAGGGAAAGAATAATTTCAAGTGGCGGAGAAGTTGGCCGGCTTAATACTGGTGGCGGTACCGAGGTAGACAAAATATTATTATTCTTTCAATTTTGGCAATCAAAGGTCAATTTATCCAAGTTTTTTTTTTAAATCTTAAAAATAATAATTCGGTTATTTGTAGATTGGTCCGTTGAGATGTTGGCCAGGTGGCTTGTGTCTTTCACGATCCATCGGTGATTTGGATGTTGGCGAGTACATAGTTCCTGTACCTCATGTTAAACAAGTAAAGGTTCGTTTCTTTTCACGAAAATTCTCCTTGCTAAAAATGTAACTGTGAATATACGAGGAAAAGAAAATTCCGTTGCTAAATTCACCAATTTAATTGTTCGTATATGCCAGCTGTCGCCGACAGGTGGAAGGCTAATAATCTCGAGCGACGGTGTTTGGGATGCACTATCTGCCGAAGCAGCTTTCGAGTGCTGTAGAGGGATGCCGCCCGATACTGCAGCTTCGCAAATCGTCAAAGTAATAAAATAATATTTCTTACAGCCTCATGTATATATATATATATTCCAACTTGGGCTTGTTCTAAATTTGATTCGTTAAATTTTTATAGGAAGCTGTACAGGTGAAGGGTCTTCGAGACGATACGACTTGTATAGTTGTAGATATACTGCCCCCCGAGAAAAACGAGCCCCCAAAACCGCCCCTGAAGAAGCAAGGAAAAAGGGTATTTAAGTCTATGTTCCGTAAAAAATCTTCCGAGTCATCGTCTCAGAGAGGGAGGAATAAGGAAGAGGAAGAAAATCTCGAACCAGAAATGGTGGAGGAGCTATTTGAGGAAGGGTCCGCTTCACTTTCGGAAAGGTCCGAATATAATGTCATTATCTTACTACGCCTACTCAATTTTCTTAAGGCCTCGTTTGGTTGATAAAAATAAAAGTCATGATTAATTAAATAGTTTGATGATTGAGTAGGTTTATTGTATATCCTCAAAAGATTGCATGTTCTTATTTCGAGAACCAAACGAGACCTAAGCAGTTTCTTATATTGATATTTGATTAATTTGTTGCTTGTTTATTACAGGCTGGACTCGAAATATCCCGTGTGCAACATGTTTAAGCTGTTCATATGTGCGATTTGCCAAATCGAGATAAAACCTGGCGAAGGTATTTCGATACATGAAAAAACAAACGAGGCGAGAAAATCACGGCCGTGGAATGGCCCTTTCCTTTGCTCGAGCTGTAAAGACAAGAAAGATGCCATGGAAGGAAAAATACCTAACGGAGGTATACACACACACACACACACACACACACACACACACACATATATATATATATATATATATATATATATATATATATATATATATATATATATATATGTTATTACCGCATTTTCGTTTAATTTTTTTGTGCAAGTCTTGAAAATCGTATTTACTGTTTTTGTTTTTTGCAGTTGGTAGATATAGGAGTGGAAGTGAATAGTCGATCTCCGTGAGTGATAGTATATTCTCATTCTCTGATCTTAAATGAGGAAAAAGGCGATTGCCCACCTTCGTCGAACGCCATATATATATAAGATAGTAAGTGTAATTGAAAAACCCTAGTGTGAATATGTAAGATACAACACACAAAATGTGTTTTGCCTTCTGCTCGATTCTGACTTTGAAGATGAAGACTTATGAATTTTTCAATTTAGTCGAAAACGGACAAAATCTTGCCTATGTCGGGTTAAAAGACAAGCGAGTGGTCTCTCTATGTACAACTGTCGTAGAAAAGATCAGAGATAACTTATTCGCTACAAGAGTACATTTTCTTGATATATTCTTTGTTGTAATATTGCCGCGTAAAAAATGTTTGACTGGAGTTCGTCGGTCTTTTTGCCGTTTTTGACGACATCTTGTTTTTCCAATGTAACATTGTTTTGTTCTTCCTTGGTTAAGAAAGGAAGATAAACAACATTTGGCGTATAAAACGGGGTCATTTTTTCGTCTATACTTATTATCTGCATACTCGCATCTTCTTCTTGTGCTTCTTATATATAAGGAATATTTTTCCTAACGTAATATTTTCGTCGCTAAAATTCAACTTGTCTGGTTTATGTATTCGACTAGACATGACCAAGTTGCTGATTCAAACCGGAACCGGCCCTGACCGGGGTCAACGGTCCGGTTAACCTGATTCGTCGCGTTAGGTTCGGTACAATTTTACCTATATGTCGAACCGTGAACTGCTGGTAAATAGGCGGTTCAACAATCAAATAGGAAAAAAAAAACATATTTTTTAAATGGGCGGGTCGAACCTGAACGGTGGTATCAAATTCAAACGGGTGGCCAAGATTATCTGCTGTGACTGGAGTTAGTGGATCTATTTCCCAATTAACTTATGCTCGGATTGCGCGTATCTCAATTTTTTTTCTCTCTCCAAGTTTTCTTCTAATCTAATTTACTATTAAACTGGATTTTTTTTGATGTACTTGACTGTTAGAAAATTTGATTACAACATTTCCTCTACCGGAAGTTTGTGGTTCCCCTTTTCTCTCGGTGTTTAAGAATTGAGCATTAATTTTCCCTCTTTATGATGTGTTTGATTTTTTTAATTTATCATATGCATGCACATAATTTTTCCCTCATTTCTAGAGTTTATGATTTATCGTATGCACACACATAATTTTATACAATTATTAATCGAAAATATATACGTCGTACATTGCACAAGAGGAGTTACTAATTGAAACACGATGTTTATATAAAACTTTTAAATGTCTTTTGAAGTCTTATAGATTTTTTAGTAACTTGACTACACTTTTACAATATTTTTTTTCAATCTCGTGCATCGCACGGGTGAAGTTACTAGTACGTCTAATAAAAGAGAATGAAATAGAGTTAAAATTAGGAGCAATATCTTAAAATATAACAATAGGTAACACAATTTTACATATTTAACAAAACTTAACAGAACTACTAACATATAATATTTGGGAAAAGTACAGTTTTATTCCCTCACATTATTATCGATTCCACATTTGGTCCCTCATATTCACAGAAAAACAAATTTGGTCCATCATATTTAAAAAATTCAATACATTTAGTCATTTCCGTCAAGTTTCCGTTAAAACTAACGGAATCAAGTCTATGCCCATCAATGACTTAACTGACAGACTAACGGTAAATCGACGGAAATGAAAAAAAACGTTAAATTATTCAAACAAGAGGGAATAATTTTTTTTTTTAACATAGAAAACCAAATATGAAATCGGTGCAAACTTGAAAGATGAAAACGATAATTTTCCCTATAATCTTTATACTGATGACAATCTTATGAAGAGAAGCCAGCTGGCAAACGTGACACGAGACAAATTAAATCAATTTGCAATCTATAGATTCATACATCTTTCTTTCTTTTTTGTTTTTAATTAATTAATTAATTATTTTTTTATAAAAGTGAGTAGTTAAGTGGAGAAGATGACTATCGTATCGATTATGACCACCACAAAATAATGGCTCTATGATTGAGATGTCGACCTTAACTATGCAGACAAAGTTTTCCTACGACAATATGGTCTTATGGACCATACTTCGCACGTGTGTCTCGGCCCCCACCCCACCCCCGCCCCCACCCCCCTACGTCCTACCAAACTTTGATGTTTAATTTACGTCCCTTTTCAGCTAATTGATATATCGGATAATCTGAAGCCAATAATATATTAGGTGCACTGGATAAACCTGTAGTATCGTATAATAGCTTGCAAATAATACGAGAAATGTAAAATACATTAGGATAACAATGTGTGACAAACTCGACCTGGGGACAGTTGGAACGGGATTCGAAACCTCCAACACTACTAGAAAATGACGATTTCGGCGCTGGATATATCTGTCACTAATGCCTTTAATCCGTCGCTTGGCGACGGATTTAGGCCTTTAAATCTTGAATTTGTATAATTTTGACCTTGTGAGTCGATCGGTGTCCAATTTAAATTTGATATTTCAAATATTATGTTACGTGTGTATATTTAGGCCTTATTCGATTACCATAAATCGTTAACCTAACTATATTGAATCGTACAAACTATACCTACTAACCCTAGCTATTTAGTTGGTAAAATGTTCTTTTCTTTTTTTCTTATTAGAGCCAATATTAATTATTAAAGTTGTTTATTCTTTTTCATCTTTGATTTATACACAATTACACATCAATGATAGATGTTTATTTGGATGTATGTTAAATATGTATAAATATACAAAGGACCCAAAACAATTCACTAGGTGAAACATTGAACAAATTTAAAATTAGCCTTAATGTTATGAGTTTATTGCAGCCAGTACCCTTTTATTATATCGAATTGCTAAAAGAATCACCTCATGTTATTTTATTGATAAAATTCCCCTATAACTTAATTTTTCTTTAGCAATTAGTGTCCGTGGGAAAGCCATAATTTACTATAAGGGTAGGCCAAAGTTTTACACGATTTCTGGGTAGAGCCCCCAAATATTTTTACATTTTTTTATAAATATAGCGCAAAATAAATATAATTTTTTATTTTTTAATTAAATTATATAAATTAAATTTTATATTGGAACTCTTTAAAGTTTAAACTACATTACAAATTAGTGGTGTTGGTTAATTAAATTAGATTAACATTAAAATAATGTATAAAAAGGCTAATTAAATTAAATGAAATTAAATTAACATTAAAATAGTGTACGCAAGGGCCAATTAAATTAAATTTAAAATAATGTATGCAATTAAATATATTTAGTATTAAAAAATTGCAAAAATAAATGAGTCTGTTTGGCTAATTTTATTTTAAACAGTTAATAAGATTTTACGTCTGATAAGATGTTATAAGAGCTGATAAGGTGCTATATCTTATTTTTATAATCAATTTTTAAAGTGATTGGGTAATGAGCTTATTTGTATTTAGTATAGGATCTTAAATAAAAATGTGGGGTATAGGTACTTATTAAAAAAAAATCTTATTTGCTCTCCAATAGCTTATTTTAAGAAAAATAGGATTTTTTTTAAATTACCAAACACTTAATAAGCACTTAAACATCTTATAAGCTAGTTTTAACATTTTATAAGTTTAGTCAAACACACACGGGACTGACCATAGCTCCGCCCCCGATTAGTGTCCCTTGTTTAGCCTCATGTGCTAAAAAAATGAATTGTAGAGGATTTTTGGCGATGAAATAACATCGGGTACTTTTTAGCAATTAAACCCTAATCTTGTAACTTACTAGACTTTTGGCCCGTGCGATGCACGAATTGAAGTAAAATTAATACAAAGTAAAGTTCAATTTAAAGGACGAAAAATTGAAGTTTCAATTCATTTTGATGTTTTTTTTACAACAATTCATTTTGATGTCTTACTATATGTATTGATGATAACTCCATCCATAAGCCATATTTATTATTTAACTTTATATTTTTATTTAATATGGTTGTGTATTTATATTATCTCAGTTAAGGTAGAAGTTTGACGAATTTTCATCTTTATCACTCATAACAGGTTTCAGTAAATTTACTATAAATCAATGATGTCATTAAATCTCAAAAGTTTATCAGAACAACGAAAATTTTATTGATAAGATACGTAGATTTGTGGTCAAAAACTCCGGATACTTAATTTATTTATTAAACTTAATTACATTAAATGAAATGAAATAATAAAAATAAATAATTAAACAAATAAATGACCATCATAACTATCAAATGAGCGGAAAAAGTTTCTTTGTATTTATTAAACTTGGTTATATTAAATGAAATGAAATATTAAAAATAAATAATTAAATAAATAAATAACAATTATAACAATTAAATAAGCGGGAAACGTTTCCTAGAGTTTACCGGGAGCAACTTTATTTTTATTAATAGGAGTTTCATTGTATTTATTAAACTTCATTATATTAAATGAAATGAAATACTGAAAATAAATAATTAAATAAATAAATGACAATTATAACAATCAAATGAGCGGGAAAAGTTTCCTAGGGTTACCAGGAGCAACCTTACTTTTATTAATAAGATTTACTATAAATCAATGATGTCGTTAAATCTCAAAAGTTTATCAGAACAGCGAAACTTTTATTAATAAGATACGTGGATTTGTGGTAAAAAAACTCCGGATACTTAATGTATTTATTAAACTTGATTATATTAAATGAAATGAAATAATAAAAATAAATAATTAAATAAATAAATGACCATCATAACTATCAAATGAGCGGGAAAAGTTTCTTTGTATTTATTAAACTTGGTATATTAAATGAAATTAAATATTAAAAATAAATAATTAAATAAATAAATAACAATTATAACAATTAAATAAGCCGGAAACATTTCCTATAGTTTACCAGGAGCAACCTTATTTTTATTAATAGGAGTTTCATTGTATTTATTAAACTTCGTTATATTAAATGAAATGAAATACTAAAAATAAATAATTAAATAAATAAATGACAGTTATAATTTATAACAATCAAATGAGCCAGCAGCAACCATACTTTTATTAATAAGATAAAAAAGCTCTAATCTTATATATATATATATCAACCATGGATGCTTTACTTTAGGGGTGAGCAAAAAATCGAGAAACTGAAAAATCGAACCGAAAACCGAAAAAACTGAGCCGATATGCACCATCTCGACTTAAAACCGCATATACAGTATTTTTTATTTTGAAAAACTGAAAATATCGGTTTGTGTATGGAGAATAAAGAAATTACCGAACCGATTACCGGAACCGAACGGATTTATACAAAACGACGTTGTTTTGATACATAGTATGCATATTTACCGTCTTCCCCTAGTGCGCCTCTATATCATCCGAACGTCTCCATGTGAAATATTTTTTATTAGTTAATTTTCGGTTGTATTTGTTAATTGTCTCAAACAAATGTAATGAAAATCCAAATTCACCGTTAATCAAATATCGGTTATGCCGAACCGATTCGAACCAATTCGAACCGATAGACGAAAACGAAAACGAAAA